ACTCTCCAGATGCTGCTCCTTTGCCCACTCTGGAGGTTCCTCTGCCCTGTGGCCAGCTGGCCTTCCCATCCCTGTTGTCTCCTGGGCAGGCCTGGACAGGTTTTGGCCTCCAGGTAACCCAGTTAGTTCAGGAGGGAGTCTAGTGCCCTAGGACCAAGCATCCATTGCTACATAACCTGCAGTCTTTGCTAGGCCTTGTGTGTTCTCTTCCCCCTGTCCCCTTAAAGCCTTCAGTTCTCAGGACCCTGGGGTGGGGGTATGATAGGACTAGCTGGACCCAGCTGGAGTCATCTGCCCCCAGTACCTAGACTCCCATGCCATGTCTTCCACCTTTCTTGGTATGTCTTTGGGTCCTAACCCTGGGCTAAGGACATACAAAACACTGCTTCCCTGTCCCCAATCCAACATAGATGAGGAAATTGAGGTTTGAAGATGCCCACTGGTGGACCATGGCTCAGGTCCAGTTGACTGGGTACCATGTTGACTACCCAGTAACTCCATAGTTCTGTGACCTTACTTTCCCCAGGCAGCCAGGTGTGGCTTTTTTATTCATTCACTAAAACTTCTAAGAAACTAGGATTTGGAGGAGGAGGTGTACAAGTATTGTGAAGACAGAGGCCTTTCTGCACCTGGGTGTCAGCATTAGGGACTAATTATGGTCCTGAGTCCACTGGAAGAAGTTTCCCTTAGGCTTGTGAGGGTTTTCCCAGAGTGTGGAACAAAGGATGTGGAGAAAACAAGGCTGGTCAAAGTCTGAATCCTGAGCGTGCAGAAGCAAAAAGATATTTTCTGTTCACCCAGACTTTGGGACTCTGGGCCTGAGCAGGCTCAGACGGCTCAGTGCTGGTGGACAGTCCCTAGGGATCAACTCTTACTGCACCGGGGCTGCCCCCTGGCGGCAGTGAAAGGAAGCTTTCGAGAAGTGATAGAAGTGCAGACCCTTGGCAGCTTGTGACCCTACTCCCAATCCTTTCCCTCTTCCTGTGCTAAAGCTTCCTGAGATTCCAAGTCCTCCCTCGTCCTGAGCCAGTTATCCACATCCTTATTTTACTTAAGAATATCATCCTCACAGTCCCTTTCTGGTGGCACAGAGAGTTAAGGCATGGCACTGTGAGGCTATCCCAGCCACTGCAGCACAGGTTTGATCCCCAGACAAGGTGACCCACATGGTACAGCAGATCTCTCCTGTCCTGCCCACTTCCCCACTTCTTCCCTCAACAGTGTGTTTCAGTCCATCTGCCTGTTCTGCTCCCCACTCTGTCTCTGGTGAGTCCTCTCACCCTCTGCACCTCTGGGCTGTACCTCAGTTCTTGTATGAATGAATAAATCTTAAAAAAAGAAAAAAAAAAAGAATATCATCCCCTCACCTGTTCCATTGCCCATGGTTAAAAAAAAAAAAAAAAAAAGAGGGCTCTCCCTGGTGGCACAACTGGTTAAAGCACTGCATTATGAAGCTCTTCAAAGCCACTGCAGCACAAGTTCGAACCCCCACCAGGGAGATGACCCACATGGCACAGCAGACCTCTCCTGGCCTGCCTGCTGCTCTCCTCAACAGTGTGTTTCAGTACATCTGCCTGTTCTGCTCCCCACTCTGTCTCTGGTGATACTCTCACTCACCACACCTCTGACCTATACTCCAGTTCTGTACACATAAATAAATAAAATATTTAAAAATAATAAAGATATAATTCCCTGAATTAGCAAGGCCTCCCTCTACTGCCAATGTCTTACTCTAGGCAGAAGGTAGATCTGCCTAGTGTGAATGTCTGGAGCTTAGACCAAGGGTTACATACAGGGCATGGTCAAAAACTGCTTGTTCCTTCATCCAACATGCTTTTATTGAGGACCCTCTTACATAAACTGGGCATTGAACAAGTCAAAGAGGTCCTCTCCTTTTGGGGGCTTACATTCTGGCTAGCAGCAATTGTGCAGGGTGGGAATATAGACAATAGAGAAACCACAGATGATACACTAGGTGAGGATGAGGCTTATGGAGAAAAATAAAGCAGGGTGAGGGCTGGAATGAGGGGTGGGTATGCTTGTTCATAGCCATGACAGAAACTACCATGCAGCTGTTGGAGAAAAGGTGAGTAGTTTTGGTTAATGATAAGGAGAGGATATAAATTTAGATAAAAAAATGATAGATTAATAAGGCTAATAGTCATGTTGGGTTGCATTGTGTTTCTTATAGAATAGTTATTGTCTTTACTTATGGAAGTGCGTAGATTAAAGTTTCTATTCTCTTGCTAAACTTTCCTGCCCTGTACCCTGCAATACTTGGGCACCCTAGCAATCCCCACAACCTGGCACTAAGGAGCTGGGGGGAACAAGACTGTCTTGACTTGCACAAGTTTTCCTGTTGCTCACCCTCCTGAGCCCGCAGGCAGGGTCTCTTCTGGGTTGTGAACTCATAAGGATCTTATGGTTTGAAAATTTGTGAAGTTGAGGGAAAACATTTGTACCTCCGTATTTGGTAATTTACAGTAACCAAAACAGTGCAAGCAAATGTCTGTCAAAGGATGAGTGCTATGATAAGTAGAATATGGTAGATCCATATAATGTATATATATATATATATATATATATATATATATATATATATATATATATATATTCTGATACATGCAACAGTATGAATGAAACTTAAGGAAATTATGCCCAGGGTATTAAATATATAAGGCACTAATGGGCAAATACTATATCAATCTATTTACATGAGGCCTCTAGAAGTTATCAGGAGCTATGGAGAAATGAGAATGGGGAGTTGTTTAATGAGCAGACTTTCAGCTTTGCAAGATGAAGTGAGTTCTGGAAATTGGTTGCACACCAATGTAAATGTAACTAACATTGCCAATTTGTATTCTAAAAATGGTTGAAATGGTACATTTTATGTTGTATGTATTTTTTGCTGGTGTGTGAAATTTATTGCTACTGTGTTTTCACCATCAAAATTATAATCTTGGTCTCTCCTTCTTGCCTATGAGGCCAATAGAGTGACACTGGCTATTATGATAATCTTAAAGTGATGATAAGACTGTCACCAGCAGCATGACATTTGAGACCAAATCTGGTAACCAGAACGTCCATCATTTTCCTCAGTAAGAGTCAAACAACCAACCACTGGGTACAAACACTGACTTTTTGGCTGTTTGACCAGGTGGACACTTGGTACACTTCCCGATGGCGGGATTTGGCTCTTTGGTTTCAACTTCTGCTTTTTCCAGCATAATTCCTTTTGCTGAAGTGCCTCCGAAAGTGTTGGCCTTTGGAGTTGGACTTCAAGAAGTTTTCTTGTACTGTTTGCTGTGCCACTTTTGATCTCACCAGTGACTCTGGAACTTCCTGGCAGTAAGAGGAACATGACATTTCTCCATCCTGCCAGGACCCTAAGGGCCTAAGCAAAAAGTAATGTTGTATCTATGTGATCACAATTGAAAAAATATATTGTGAACCATTCTGGGTTGCCTCCCTAAGCCAGTCCCAGCCTGCTGAGCCTGCTTTAAAAGAAAAAGAAAAAAAAATCTGTTTATCTATGCACACAAGAACTGGGGCACAGTCCAGAGGTACCAGGGGTGATGTTGAGAGGATTCACCAGAGACAGAGTGAGAGGCAGAACAGGTGAACTGACTGAAATACACTGCAGAGGGGAGCAGTGGGCAAGACAGGAGAGGTCTGTGGACAGCTTCGCAGTGCTGTGCTCCAACACCCTTGGACACCAGGGAGGCCCCCTTCTGAACCTGTTTTCTTACTTAAAAATGGGTGATTGTAAACAAGCAAGGGATGATTGTGCCCCTGCATGGAAGGGGAGGTCTAAGGTCAACAGCCTCAAACCTGAGTGGCAAATGTGTGCTTGCACAGCATGGCTGCTGTGTTAGTTCCTGTGTTGTCTGAGGGTAAGACAGCAGTGAGCATGTCAGGTTGAGAGTCCCTAGGCCTACCCCTGCCTTGTTCCCACTTTCAACCTCAGGGACAATGTTGTAGATCTCTCTAAATCCAGTCTACAAGTCTCCAAAGATACTGCCTCAATCATTTCCTTCCAAGCATTTCCTTCTATGGCTGGAAAGGTAAGGCAGTGGCCATGGGGGAAAAAAGATGGGGCAACAGAAACAGAGGAGATCAATACCCCAGGGGAGAAGGGGCTGGGAGATGGGGGTACAGTAGGAGGCAAAGCAGCCTGATTTGGGGGGGTGCTGAAACTCAGGCTGTTTTTCAATAAAGTTGTCTAACTATGGATATGCCTTCCCAGGATGCACTAGGGAAAGGGTGCAGAGTGAGAATCTAAACTGGGTGACAACTACCCTCCACCTAGGGCTTACACTAGTGTCACCTGTGGGAAAGAGTATGCCAAGCCGTTGGGGGGCTTTGCTTCTCAGCTCTGGTTCTTGACTGGACCCTAGCCATCCCTGTTAGTTGACCCTGAACTGTGAAGAGTGAGAGGGTGCTCTCCTATCCCTGATGGGAAGTCATTTCTGCAGCCCTGGAGAGAAGAGAGAGAGGAGTGGCATGCTTGTGTCCCTTGCTTGTGCTTTGACTTCTAAAATATTTTTCTTTTTTCTATCAATATTTTAATGAGGGGTTCAACATAAGATAGAAAAATAACATTCTGATCACTTTTTTTTTTTAAGAGGCAGACTTTTCTTGAGACTTTCATACAGACAATGGATGGATAACATAAAACTCCTGCAGAAAATACAAACTGACCACAGAAAAAGGCACTTCTCCAAATACCTGCCAGGTTTTGCAACAGGCTTGAAATGGCCTTTCAGACTCTGGTGTGCTTGTTCTGATTTCTTTTGGAAACAGATCAGTTCAGACTTGAGCCACGCTGCTCTTGGAGGCTGAGGGATGCCTGGACACTGCCACTGATTTAGCACAGCAGTGTGGGGTAATGGTGCTAACAGAAATAAGGTAATTATAAAGTAATAAGGGTTCAAATACTTGCTTGCTTCTCTGGCTGGGTGTAGGTGGCCAGAGGACACCTCCCCTGTGGGGAGTCTTGTTCACTCTCCATGGAGGGCCATGTGATCCAACAGGTGGGCTGGGACCAGGCCCCTGTGGCCATCTGACTCCCCATAATAGAATCCTTTGTCATCCACAGGCCCATAGACTGTGACCACATCCCCCATCTTCAGTGACAACTTGCACGTATCCCGGCCCCCTATTTGCGCATCCTTAGGGTCATAGTCCAAGGTTGCAATCATAGTCTTTGGAGTCCATAGTGGGGTCCTCCTGGGTTTCCCTTGGGACATGGGGGAGGAGTCCTGGGGATTGGTGAGCCCTGCAAAGTCATCAAGGTGGGTCACAGAAGATAGGAGTCCTTGTGCTGGTAAATGCCACCTCCCATCAGTCTGCTCCATGCCCATCTCCAATTTGGTCACCAGGTGCCCAGGGGTGTTGCCCACTTGCCCATTACATTCACCATGGTAGGAACCTCGGGCATCCCGAGAGCCCCACACTCTCGGCAACTGCCCTTTGTGGAAGGTCAGCTCATCCTCTGCAGCCTCATGGCTGGGAGACATCATCAGGGGGTCATAATCAAAGAGAGCCACAAATGCTGTAGCCAGACTCTCTGCCTCCATCTCTAGTGGGGAGACATGCCTGCACATCTTAATGACGTTGCTGGGTGGAGCTGGACACAGCGCCAAGCTGTGCTCACGGAGCTGGCCCTTTCTCTTGAACTCTAGCATCTGGGTTCTAAGCACCTTTCTCTGCTCTTGCCTTTCTGTGCACCAGGGACTAAAGTGTACCGTCTCCTCCTGTAATATATCATTAAAGTCAGATTTGTAGTGTTGGCTGGTACCCAGCTGAGGGGAAAGGAACACTGGAGCATTTTGCTTTTGCCTAAGGTTCTTCTCAAGGGAAGCCTTTTCCTGACATGGTTCTTTCCTGGACCCACCATCAGGGGATGGATGAATCATTCCCAGAGCATGACTTTTGCTTGTGTCTATGTGCCAGTACTGGTTTTCTTCCCCGCCAGACTGGCCACTGGAATGTGGTGGCCTATGACTTTGGCAATTCTTCTGAAAAAGCAGGTCCTTTCTGGACATCTTCCAGGCCTCTGTGGGCCCCTGGACTTGACTGCCAGACTCTACACCTAGACAATCTTCTTCTGAATTCAGGTTGGGTACCAGAGACCACCTCCCTGGGAGTTCTTCAGGGGATGCTTCTGGGAATTCAGCTTGGGGTTCCCCACAGCTTCTAGGGGTATGTAGGCTAACCTTGGCATTCAGGGGAGCCATCACCAACCTCTGAGGACAGACAGAGAAGGTGACTGTGCAAGTGGATACATCACCACAGGTGTAACTAAAAGGACAGGTGCCTGGCCATTGGTGACAGGTCGCACAGTCCTGAGGGATCTGAGCTGGAACCGAATCCAGGGACTCGCCACAAAGTGACATGGTTCTCACCGAAATCTTCTGGCACAACAGTGGCCTCTGGAGCTGGGAAAACTCCAACATGGTGCTCCCGGCAGTGGCATCAGAGACCTCTGCAACCTTGAGACCATCAGCATACACAGCATAACCAGTGACCTGGACTCCATTGGAAGAGCCAGCAGAATCAATGGTCACAGGGAGCCAACTGACCACCAGGAGGCCTGTTGAGGCATGGCGCTCCACTAGAACATCCAGAGGTGGGTCAGGAGGTCCTGCCATGGGTGTGGTAAAGGTGATAGTAGAGGACATCATTTCCCAGTGCACCTGCAACAAGTCCCACGGCAGCTGCACCTCCACTCGCACCTGATACTGTGTGCTAGGACGTAAGCAGTGGAAAGTATAGCAACTCACTCCTGCTGGGACCAAAGCATGCTCCTGATCATTAAGGAATACCACATGGGGGTAGCTGCTGCTGCCATATACCCAGGTGATCTCAGCTGATGTGCTAGCAACACTTTGTAGGTGTAGTTGCTTGGGGACTACACAAAAGACTCCTTGGGCCCCCAGCATGGGCCCAGAAAAGCCCTGCTCCTCCACACTCTGCACCAAGCCTGGTTGGTCAGCTTCAGACTTGGCATCTGATCTTTCTACTGTCACTTCTGTCTTGGAAACTGCCTCTACCATCTGGCACTGTCCCCTATCCACAGCTCCCTGGGCTTTCCCAGGTAATAAGCTATGACCAGTGTCTTCCTTTGAAGCTATGCCCTGCCCAACTGAGAGATGAGTGAGGCTAAGTTCAGAGGCTTTTGGGGGCAGGTCTCCCAGGACATCACTCTCAGGAATCTGCTCTATCAGGTTGGAGGGCACCAGCCCCCGCCGGCCATCCTCAAGCTCTCCTTCATAGAAGCCATCCTCATCCATGTCCCCAAAGATATATACATAGTGTCCAGCCATGAGAGGCAGTTCATTCTCAGGGTGCTTGTTGGGTCCCTCAAACGGGTTGTAGCTGTAGCGAGCCAGGAAGATCTTACGTATGGGGGTGCCAGGGGCCTCTGAGTCCCTCCCTTCCAGGGCTGAGGCTACACTGTCAGGTTCTAAATCATCCACTTCACTAGCTGTGTCCATGTCCAGAGTAGGGTACGATGGAACCGTGGCCCACATGGATTCCACCTCGGAAGAAGAGTTTGACTGGGAGTTGGTTTTCTTACTCTGGGGTCCAGAGTCCAGAGGTTGGCTTACTGGGACTCTGTTGGGTATTTGGGAACCACTGGCTGACTCTACAAGGGCAAGTGGCTGTTCTGGCAGGGAGGCTTGCCCTTTCTCTTGTTTGTCTCTGCTAGGCTGTGATGGTACTTGGTCTTCAGGCCCTGACAGAAAGTTGGTCAATTGGCTTTCCAGGCCTTGGGACATGAGGGCTTGGGCAACCTCCCTGGTGTCACTGGCAGAGTGACAGGGCTGCCGCTTCAGGGCCTGTATCTCCTCCTGGGCAGCTTGTAGTTCATTCAGGGCCTTCTGCAGGTCGTGCTGCAGCTGTTGTTGCCTATCTTGCCCAAGAGCTGCCTGCTGCAGCAGTTGCTCAGTCAGCAAGCCGGCTGAGTCGCGCTCCTGGCACGTGCGGTCCAGCTGCCCACGCAGGTCGTTGTTTTCAGCTGCTACTTTCCGCATCCAGTCGACCTGAGCCTGCAGCCGAGCGTTCTCCTCCGCCTGCCAGGCGCCCGACTGTAGGGCTGCCTGCAGCTGCGTCTCAGCCTCCTCACAGCACCTCCGTGCTGCCACTGCCTTGGCGCCCAGCTCCTCACACTCACGCAGCCGCGCGACCAACTCTAGCTCCAGCTCTTGCACCTGGCGCTGCGTCTTCTCACAGGGTGCGCTCTGGCAGCCCGCCTCTGCCCGGGAGCTTCCTCTACCCTGCTGCAGCGTTAGCTGTTTTTGCAGGCGCAGCACTTCCCACTGGGACTTGCGCTGCAGCCGCTCCAAGTCATTGACTTTGAGCCTTTGGACAGGGGTGGCAGCACCTCCAGGGTGCGGGCTGTCGAGGCCCGAAGCGATGCTCACCTGCAGTAAGTGGCACTCCTGCCGAAGCTCTTCTATTTGCTTGTCCTTGGCCAGCAGCGCACTGGCCTGCTCTGACAAGTCTCGGGCACGCTGGCGTGCGAAGATCTGGCGCAGCTCCAGGTTCGCGCGGCTCTCGCCTAGCACAGGCGCGCTCACAGCCCGCAGGTTGGTTTCTTGGAGCTTGCGGGCCCGGTCTTCTAGGCGCCGTGCCAGACCCGTCAGCTCTGCGGGCTTCCCCTTGAGCCGCTTTACCTTCTCCTCTGTCTCTTCGCAGAAGCCTGCGCGCCTCAGCTGCCTGTTCTCTTTCTGCAGGCCAGCGCAGCGGCGCGCCAGAACTTGCAACACTTCGGACAGTTCTGAGTTCTGCTTTGCCAGCTCGTGGTAGTCCAGTCCCGCGGGCGAGGGGATCAGGGTCTCGCAGGGCTGGTTGCTGGAGTCTTCTCGCCGGTCGCTAGGTCTCCTGCGCTCCGACGAAGATGGTGACTGCGACGGCGGTGGAGGGCTTGGGGAACTCAGCAGGGAGGCCTCTCTCGAAGAAGAGGCCGGCTCCTTGAATTCAGGGCTCTTGGCATGACTCAGGGTACTGTGGAGTGAGCAGGAACGCGCTGGTGCCAAGGAGTCAAGGGAGCTGGCACGCGTGAGCAGCAGGCTGTCAGGGGAGTTGCAGCACTCGGCGGGCACCACATCTAGGGATCGGGAGCGCATCCGGACGCCCCCGCTCGGGCTGTCGAGGGATTCCAGTTGACAGGCGGACTTCGGGAGACCACAACAGTCGCTGGCCGTCTCGGGGTGCGGCTGTTCAGAAGAACACACTGCTGGAGATTGGGGGGGACTCGGCAAAGCCGGGGGCCAACGGAAGTGCTCCAGGATATATTTGAGGAAAAGCTGGCGCTCCACGTCCAGCGCCGCCTGCAGGTGGCGGATGCGCGAGGCCTGCTCGCCGTCGGTCTCCCAGCGGAGTTGGGCCAGCACCTCCTGCAAGCGACAGTGGCACTGAGCTGCGGCGACTTCGGGCGCCCCCGCGCGGCAATAGCCGCGGCTCACTAACTCTTCTGCCAGCTGGCGCTGCAGCTCCCGGGCTTGGCGCAAGACGCCGTCACGCTCGCGGTGCAGCAGCTGCTGCAGCTGCCGCAGCTCGGCCTCCTTCCAGCGCAGCAGCTGCCGGATTTCGGCCTCGCGCTCCCGCAGCATATCTTCCTGCAGCTGCCGCAAATCCCGACCGCGCTGTGCCTCCCACTTGGAGCGCAGATGGTCAGCCAACTGCTGTCTCTCCCGCTCGGCGGCCTCCCGCAGCTGGCGCGTCTGGTCTGAGAAGCGCCGCCTCTCCGCCCGCCCGCGTGCCCGCTCGGCCTCCAGCTCGGCTCGCAGCTTCACCAGCTCCCGCCTCTGCTCCTCCAGCACTGCCGCTGACGGGACCGAGCTACCTGGCTTCTTGGATGTCACCCGGCTGCCGCCCGAAGGGCTAGGCGAGTCCTTGGTCATGGTGGTCCCTACTTGGCCAGGCACCTGACCTCGCCTGGCCTAGGCCACCACTCGCCAACGGCCGCCGCCCTGGCCGCGGCCAACCGTCCCGCGTGCCCCTTCCGGTGCCCTGAGGCTGGGGGGTTATAGTGTCTCCTCGTGCCTCTTCCGCCTTTGGCATCTTTCCCCACCCCCTCAGCTCGCACTACCGTGGGTGCACTAGCTCTCACTCTGTTCTGGGAAGACTGGGCACCCGCCTTCCCTGGTGGCGCAATAGCACTATGAAAAAAGCACAGCACTATGAAGCTATCCACAGCCACTGCAACACGAGTTCGATCCCCAGCCAGGGAGGTGGCCCACATGGCCGTGGCAGACGTCTCCTGGCCACCTGCTGCTCCCCTCAGCAATGTGTTTCAGTAGATCTGCCTGTTCTGCACCCCCACTCTGTCTCTGGTGAATCCTTTCAACACCCTCCCACTTCTGGCCTGTACACCAGTTCTTGTATGCATAAATAAATAAATAAACAAATAAATAAAAAGGCTGAGCTTTCTATACCTTGTTCAACCTTGGCTGTGTTCTGTCTAGGACGCCCAGAGTTTCTTTGGCCCCATGCCTGTCCCTATATCCTTTGTGGCACATGGCACTCTCCTAGGCACAATCCCTGTCAGGCCAACGCACCCAGTTGGAAGCCCAGGTCACTATCCTGGGTCTGGATAAAAGGGCTCCCTGTGTGGGACAAGATCATGGATGGGAAATGGGCTGACCTGGCCCCACCTGGCCATGGGTTCAGTTGGCACATTTGATACTAAATGACTAGCATCTACAACAGGATATGCCCAAACTTGGAAATCAGTCCTGGGCTATAGGATCCTAGTGGTGGACCTTTTCAAGGACCCCTGTGGTGCTTCAACACTTGCATACATACTGTGACCATTTTACAAATGAGAAGTCTTGAGCCCACAGCCTGGACAGAACCCAGGAAGACAGGAAAGTGGAAAGACTCCATTGAGGTTCAATTCCCTGACCTGTGTTTTCTTGTTAATTTACAATCATCCTGGGAGAGCATTCCAGGAGATGAAGACTTCTCTATGACCACACAACTCAAAAGTAGCTAAGTGGAAATTCAAATCTATAAACTTCTACTCCATCTGCCCAATCTCAGGGTCACAGAGGTCTTTCTCGTGATGGTGGTGGGGGAGAGGGGAGGTATTCCATGGGGAGGATCACATTTCACATTTGTGAAAGGAAGCAGGTCCACTGTAAAACTGAGGGCATCAGAGGGGGAGGGGAAGGGGAAGGTAAAGAAGAAAGAGGGGCAATGTATTATGGTGGAGGATTATGGGTGCCCTCATGGTGGGTGTGGTGTGGTAACACACACCTGAAGAGGTGGGATTCCATATTTCTGTATCATATACAGTGTTGTAAACCAATGTTAGCTTAATTATATGTATAAGAAGATATAGATAGAGAGATAGATGGATATATATATATATATATATATACAGATGGATATATATATAAGAAGATATATATGTGTGTGTGTGTGTGTATCTTGACCATCTTTATATATATGAAGATGGTCAAGTAGAACCTGGAGTGAAGGGCTTCTCTAGTGGAAGGGCAAGGAGAGGGGTAAAAGAAAAAAGAACAGAGACCTGGCATAACCTGCCCTTTGATTTGATCCATGAGTGTCCTGGGTTGGCTGCTTCTCCAAAAGGTAAAGCCAGAGGCCCTTGTAGGACCCACTGGGTCCCCCTGCCACCTTGCTGGAGACAATAAGACCAGAGAACTTTCTGTGGCTCTCCAAAGGCCATGATGGTTAGAGCTAGCATGTCTTTAGTAGTTCTTTAGTTTCCTGTGCCATTTTCATCCCTCGTCCATAAAGTGAGCTAACAATACAGCCCCATCATGGGCTGTGTGACCTTGCAGAGTTCTCTGACTTCTCTGAGAGAAAAGTCTGAGCATCCAATTCCTTTACTTGTGAGGTTTCAATGAGGTGAGTACACTCAGTAGCCAGAATAAAACAATGCTCCTTAGTTGGCAGTTCACTCATTTGAATCCTAGTCCTCTTTGACAGCTAGAGAAATTCAGGTCTGCAAGAAGGGCTTTGGCTGAGACCAGAGATGGCTGCCATGGTGGAAGAAGGACAGGTACTTTCTATGCTCCTTAGGACTCACTCTCATGGCAGGTGGAAAACCTCAGCAACCAGGATGTCTATCCAGACTCCACCACATTTTGGTTGAGTGACGGGGGCAGGTTACTTTACTCCTCTCACCTTCTACACAAGAAGTGTTGATAGAACTGGCCTCCCAGAGTTGGGGTTGAAGGAACACTGGATTTCTATTGACCAAAGGCTAGATATGCAATGGGAGATGCACTGAAGTGTGTACAGATTCTCTTCTTTCCGTTCCATGCTTGGTCTGAACCCTCAAAAGCTTCTTTCAGGAGCAACGGGCTTCTGGCCCTTTGCATGTGTTGTTCCCTTGCCTGGAATATCTACTTTACCTGACAAAATCACAATGCCCACTGCAGATGAAGCACTTACTATATGCAATGTGCAGTGCTTACCATACTTTATTTAAACCACCCATTTTACAGATTAGAAGTTTCAAGCCCCAGTGGATCAAGTTTTGCTCAAGGGCTTCTTAAGTGGGTCCAACAAAACCAAATTTTGTGCTCTCAATTACTATTAACCATGATCTTTGTCTCATCCTTTGTTTTGTCCTGGCCTCCCTGGAACTTTACAGCCCCTGTAATAGATATAATCACCCCACTTCTCAGGGACATGTCTAATACACATTTGTATTTGAGTGGACCCAAAATGGGCCCAGGAAATGTATAAGTGAAGTCTCTTCCCAGGAAAGAGGAAGAGGGATGTAAGGTCATACAGGTAGGGAAGGTGCCAAGGCACCAAGGTCCCTGGTCTGCTTACCTCCCATCTCAAGTCAGGTACCACTTGGCAGTAGATAGAGGTGATCTTAGCCTTGAACAGGTGTGAGGTCACTAGATGTTATAGCAACAGGGAGGTTATCTTTTGGAATACTCATCACAGATATATTTGACAGAAGAAGCCCTGCAGCACGGGATTGTTGGTGGCTTGCCAGGGCACATGGTCAAGTGTGACAGAGCTGATTGATACTTCAAGGTGGTGGGTGGGGCTCCCTGGCCTGGATGTCCTGATGTAGTCTCCAGGAGGCATCCACCAGTGACATTAGAGACTTAAGCTGTCGCCAGACAGCAAGACTCTGCGGTGAGTCTTTCAGAACCCCACAGTCACCCACCATCCAGCAGCAAGCTGTACTAACACCACCCACAACATGTCCAAGGTATTCTGGTGTGTGGCTGAGTGGATGAACAAACCAGGGCTTTCCTAGGGCTGGGCTTCTGTCACCTTGTGCAATGATTACCAGTGATGACCTGCCTGTCACCCCCATCCACTCTGAGCTCAGCAAGAGCAACCACCAGCATTGATTCACCATGTCACCTTCCTCAAGTCTCTATTGTCTTATTTACAATATCAATGAAATGGATTATATGAGTGGTACTCAAACTGGGTTCCTGAGGACTACAGGGAAAGTCCTGGAAAATTCTGTAGGACTCTTGGGGGAGAGGAGGAAAGGATGAGCTGAAGGAGAGACACTGTCCCTACCTCCTGCTTCAATAAGACACAAGCACTCATGATTGTTTCTTATCAGGGCTGAGGAAGGCTTTTGGTGTGCTCCTAGAAACAAATTTATCTATTGAGTCTACAACCTTGTATTCCATGCTGCCTCTCCCCACAGAGCCAGTCTGGGACCTCTGGGCCATGTGCTCATGGGGTCTGGAGAGCAGTCTGATTCATATCCCGCCCCTACCAGCCTGGACTGGCAGTTCTGCCACACTAGCCCTGAGCTTTGCAGAGTTTGCCTGACAGTGGGGGTTGTGGACTCCATTCTGAGGGTCTACTTGGGGCTTTCTAACACCTACACTATAGTAGTCCCAGGTTTCTACTCTGCTTCCTTTACTTTTAGTTCAACAAACTTTCTGTCAGTTCTCTGCTGTTTTCTCAGAGTTTAGAACAGTGCCCGGTATATGGCAGGTGCTAAAAAAAATGCATGATCAAAGAAAACAAAGGCATCCTGGCCAGGTTTGGCTTCTGTCCTTGTGGAGTTTACAGTCTAAAGGAGGACATAGAGCTGAAATGCAAATATGGTAAGTTTGTAGTACACTTGGAGTTTGAGCAGGTGCTGGGAATGCACGCATGGCAAGAGGGGAGAAAGACCACTGCCAAAGCAGTCTTGCTCAAGAGCAGAGGCAGCCTCAGGCATGAGAACTGCCCAAAGTTGAGTTGGATCTCAAGCACGTTGACCTGCAAGTCCCCAGGCCTCTGCACTCAGACTTCCTGCAACCCTCACACATGCCCACTGTGCCATCCCGCACCCCTCCTGGTATTCAGCTTATAATTCTCCGTGCAAAACAGTGATTCAGAAAGGGAGCATCTCAGCCAAGTCTTTTCACTCCAGGAGGTGGGGAGGTTTGGCACCTCCAACACTGACCTTCCCTCATCAGGGCAGATACTGGTGAGAGACCATGCTATTCTCTACCTCCACTTCCTTGTGGGGTCAGTCTATACCCTCTGGGTAGGGAGAAGCAGGCTGTACCAGCTGCCAGCTCTATGGATGGGGCTCTAAATTGGCCTCTTGCCTGGACAGCTCCCAAGGGGTGTGCCTCTGTGGGCGAGCAGCCTGCCCACACCAGTACTTTGCAGACCTTGTCCCTGAGTCCTCATCATAGTCAGGGAGGCTAGTATTGTCCACTCCAGATAAGAAAACTGCACGGGGCCTCCCCGGGCACACTTTGAAGCTATCCACAGCCACGGCAGCATGCTTTGATCCACAGTCAGGGAGACGTGACCCACATGGCGCAGCAGACCTCTCCTGACCTGCCCGCTGCTCCCTTCTACAGTGTATTTCAGTAGATCTGCCTCTTCTGTTACCTACTCTGTCCCTGGTGAATCCTCTCAGCCCACACCCCTGCACCTC